AAAGACCTGTCGTGTTAGGTAGGTGGTAACAAATGCTAGAGAAATGAACCCTGAAACCAAGGTAGAGAAAACAAAATAAAGTATCAGGCACTCTATGGGTGTATGCCTGCTCATCCATCTGCCTCTGCTCCAAGTCTTGAAGGTGAGGCCAGAGGTGATTCTCATTCATGCAGAGGACATTTTCATTGTGCTAAGGAAAGTTAGTCTTCTCCAAGTCATGTATTTGTGTTGCACAGGACGCCAAACTCTGCTGATTGGTTTCTGCCAGGCTCCTCGTGCTCTTTCTTTTCATCCCTGTCCCCAGACAGATACAGACCCAGCTACCTAAGAGGTTCAGTTCATCATCGAAGTACTGTTAAAAGGCTTTTATGTAAAAACAGAACTAACTCTTGTTTCTTACAAAGTCCAGGAAAACAAGGCGTTGATGTATCATAGTTACAGACTCTGCACTGTGCAATATCACTCTCTTTCGAAGAGAGTTGTGACAGGTCACAAGAGGGTTATGTATCTGCAGCCTCCGGAAAGGAGGGAAGAAAATTAATCCTGAACCTGTTAGAACAATTCCAAGCAAGTGTGAGCAACTGCTAGTATTGTGATGTCCAACTGAGTAATATCTTATTTCTAATTTTAACATCCAAGAGGAACTTTCTGTTTGGCCTGGCTTGCCCAGAGAGCCATTGGCAGTTGCCTATGGCTCAAACACGGCTATGTCAGGAATGCAGGTTGGCATCCTGTGTCTCCATGGGTTGTGTTGTTTCTCAGTAAACTCTCACTTCCTGTCTGCTCTGCTGTCGGCCTGTACGAGAGCCACTGAGCAGGACACTTGCAGGTCATGTGGCTCAGTTCCCGTGCACTGTAGGGTCTTCAGAACTTCTGGTTGTATATCTCTGGGTTTCCTACTCAGGTGAAACAGAAGTCACAACCAACCTCCCAAATGTTAGCACTTCCATTTTTTATCTGCTGCCTTATGGAAAGCTGAGCAAATAGGCTGGAGAAAATAAGATGTGAACCAAAGCGAACCTTTCACTGTAAGGCCTGGAAAGATTCCATTAACTTATCAGTGCTATGTAACTTTAGATTGTCTTTTCATTCTTTTCTCTAGTGAGAGCAGCACCAGAACACTGCACTCACATTTGTAACTGCACATTACACTTTTTCCTTGGTTAGCTAAATACGGTAATTCAGTATCAGCAGCAGCCCTGAGCTCTTAGTTGGCTAAGACTGGGAGGACTGATGAGGAGAGGAGGTTATACCCTCTGTTTCAGACTTCTGAATGAAAAGGAAGCTTTCCAGAGGCAACAACCCCTTATCTGCCCCAATTAAAAAGTTCACAACACTTCTGCGAGAGAACTCAGATAAGCCTCACTTGACCCAACCACTTGATCCATTCAGGTTTAGGCAAGATTACCCCAAAGTACATTAGTGAGATGAGACTGAATCAGCCTTAAAGTTAGAGATGCAAAAGACCTCATTTTTCATTTCCTCGCCCTTCTTCACATTCAAGTTGTTTAGTCTGGTATTTCCTATTACTTTCATGAATTTACTTTAAATAAAATGAAAGGCTGGCTTAGCTGTTACAAGTCTTGCACAGTCCTCTCTTGCTAGTTGACCTAAAATTTTCCTTCCTCTTTCCCTTGAGATCCCATCTCATGTGTTTCATTGTGTGATTCCTCTTCCCACTTAGAGCTTTCATGTATGTAAACTCCTTGTCCCTTCCTTGTGCCATCACTTAGTCAAAGTCCCAATACTTGCTTCACTTTTAATTATTTCCCCCCAATTTTTTGTCTCCCTCACCTGATTATTTTCATGGCTACTTCATCCCCACCAACTCACTGATACATTGCATCCAATTGGGACACACACAACTGAACACAGCATCCCAAATCCCATGATGCTAGTAACGTCACAGCAAAAGGCATAAGTATCTATTTAATATCTGATACGCTGTCTCCCTGTAACTCACAGGTCATGTCCAATAATACTGCTTCCCAAATCCCTCTGTCTGATTAAGTACTTGCAGTTTCCTTTAGACATATTAGCTACATTTTTCTAACCTGAATCATGTTTGTTTTCTTCTTATTATAGCACTAATCTCTTGAGGCTTCTTTTGTGCAAGTGGATGGAAAGATCTTTTTCCCCTTATTATTGCACAAGAGGGTTTTATGTCTCTGGATGTGTCATAATAAAATGGTTTTGGTAGCAGCAAACCCAATTCCTGTTGTTATTAAACCATAACACACTTCAGGACAACTTAGTCATTGTGGAATAATACTGTCTTGTGAGCACCACGTATACCTTGCAGGAAGTGCTGAAGTAAGAGGGTATGGGCTAGAGATAGACAAAGAGGAAGGATTTACGGGCTGAGTAAGAAATTAAATTCAGCTACTCATACTGAATTAGTTAAAAATAGAAAGGAAAAAAATAAACCCAAGAAACCTCTAGTCACTAACAGCTAAATTTTTCTGTTACTCAAGTAATATTGCAGTGACCCCCTTCATATAGGTGAAGGACAGCAAAAAGGGTAGGAAATTTTGATTTTTAATTACATAATTTTTTAAATGAAAATAATATAATCCAAACTTTGCCTCATTGAGGCCATAATATATGTCCTACAGCAACTATTGTCTATTTGATGACAAATATGTGTATATATATATGTATGTATACTGCTAGAGTTCTGTAGTGGCTGGTCTACTATACATGTACACCCAGACTTGCCAAACAACCTTCTTTGACCCAGACAATCAAACTTCAGGTTTGGTTAGACTGTAAACTTGTCAGCAAGAAGACCAAATTGACAGCCTGACAGTACAGGAGAGCTCCCCACAAGGTATTTAGGGGACTGGAAGGTTTTGTGGCTCGAGTCTCTTGCAAATCCAGTATCGTGACAAAGCTGAAAGATGAAGTATGGCAGAATAAAAATGCATGTGTGAAGAAGCATTTTGGTGGTGGGTTAGCCCAGATGCATTACATCTCTTCCATTCAAGAGGCCTGGTCAGATCACGCAACACAACTGAAGCAGCTGGCAATGTACTGTTTCATACCACTTGCTACCTACGAATTTACATTGTCTTGTGGCAGCTGGATGTATTTATACACAGAACCTAGTTTAAAGAGTCTTATTTTGGGAAGTACAGGCTGGATCGAAGGGCTGCGGCCAGTGATAAGAGGTTCAACAAGGCAAAGCGCTGGGTCCCGCACTTGAGCCACAACAACCCCATGCAAGACTAAAGGGAGAGTGTCTGGAAAGCCACTCGGTGGAAAAGGTGCTGATTGATGGAGCTGAACATGAGCAGGTTGTGCCCGGGCAGCCAAGAAGGCCAGTAACATCCTGGCCTGTATCAGCACTAGTGCAGCCAGCAGGACCCGGGTAGTGATCATCCCCCTGTATTGGGCACTGGTGAGGCTGCAGCTCAAATCCTGTTCAGTTCTGGGCCCCTCACTACAAGAGTGACATTGAGATACTGGTCGAGAAGAGGACAACAAAGCTGGTGAAGGGAGCACAAGTCTGATGAGGAACAGCTGAGGGATGTGGGGGAGGGGGGTTAATCTGGAGAAGAGAAGGCTCAGGGGGGACCTTATCGCTCCCTACAACTGCCTGACAGGAGGATGGAGCCAGGAGGGGGATGGTCTCTGCTTCCAAGGAACAAAGGATGGGACAAGAGGAAACAGCCTCGAGCTGCACCAGGGGAGGTTTAGATGGAGCTGAGGAGCAATTCCTTTCAGAAAAATACCCTTGAAGGTCACTTCAAAGGAATAATAATAACCTGTGTCATAGGAGATGGCAATGCACTTCAGCTTTGCCATGCAGCTGAGAGAACATCGCCCTTCAGAGTCATTCTGCTTCCTTGCACTGCACTTCAGGAATGCTCCACCATTCATACCGCTCTGGGCAAGGAGTAACTTAGGTGATAGTTGGAGAGAGGGAGAGCTGGCACAGTGAGTGAGGGGAGCTCAGGGGTGCACTGCCGGCTACCACTGTCAGCCTAGCAGAATCTAGGCTAGTCCCCACAACCTGAACAGCTGAAAGGTGTGGAAGTGGCAGTGAAGGAGGAGCAGGGGAGAGAAGCAAGTACAAGTGAGAGTGGGAGAAATTAACTGGTCCTGGAGAAGCAAAGTGGATCAGGAGCAAACGCTTTAGTCAACAGAGGGAGGAAATGAAGAAGAAAGAGACAAAAATCCTCACTTAACAGTTTATAGCAACTAGTCCTAGGAGAATTCTGACTTTGCATCCCTTGGAAACGAAGCCATCAATAATGCAACCCTGGAAAAGGATCCCCACTCCAAGTCTTGAACAGTATGGATCCAGGAAATATTAAATCCATCTGCTGTGGAGAAAATGTTTTATCAACAACAAAAAACCCATTTGATTTATTCTCTAGACACTGGGCCCAGACTCAGTCACTAAGCTGTGCTATCTAATGTGGTTAGACAACTTCTAGGGAACTAACCTCTTGTTGCCATTACTCACAGTATTTGCTTTTCCCCTATTGCCTTACTCATCTGATTCCTCCTTTCTTATTATGACTGGTTGAGTTGATAGGTCATAATTTATACTGCAGGCTGAGGCTTTCATGCCTTTGTCAGTAACCTGAGCCAGGGAAGTGAGTTATTCCTGCCTTTGCCTTGTTTCTCCGTCTCATTCCTTCTCCATTTGGGAGTTTACCTAGACCTAGAACATACAAACTCTGTAGCACTACCCATCAGGAGAGAGGCTTTCCCTCCAGTTATAGTTACAGTATATGTCTTTGGATTAGTTTCATGCTGGATACCAAGTATTTAATAGATCCCTCCATTGATACAGCACCCTTAGTCCCAAAGTGCTTCCCAAACCATAGATTTATCCGTTTCAGCTATCCTAACTCACATTATAAAACAGGCAACACTGGGGAAGAGCAGGCACACAGTAAGCACTTCTCCTGCAAAGCTGATGAGTAGTGGGCTTTTTCTTAGGCATTGTGGCCAGGTCACCTCCAGCCACTTCAAAAAACATCACCTACCTTTGATGCTAGTTCCAGATCAGTTAACTGGCTCCTCCTGTGTCGACAAAAGCCAGAGCATGGTTTACACTCATTTTACACTGTAGCCCACCCATGTTACACAGAGAACACAGACTAAGGAACCTCATTGCTTTCCCTCAGTGATCATGAGTACGCAGCAGTACAGAAGGGTTCTTCCCCACCTCTGGGGGCAAAGGACACACAGACCAGCACTGTTTACTGTGAGCAGAAAGCCCATGAGAGCCCCTTACGTTGTGCAGCATGACACACCCAGGCACATGGACTGGGGCTCCACTCCAGGCTGCAGCTGTGCTGAGTCCCTCAGTGTAAAATGCTCCTCTGTAAAATACCATTAACTTCAGCTAATTCTACTGTGATCAAAAAACATCAAGAATGGGTGGAGACAGGCTCCTGCTCTGCCAGAAATGGCTGCCCTCTTCAGATCCCCACATCCATTCCAAAGTGTGTGAAGGTGTCCAGACCACTTAGTGGTAGGCAAAAGGCAAAGGTTTCACCTCCCTCTCCTCCCCTCCCCTCCCATCTCAAAAGAACCTTGCATTTTCATAGAATCCCAGCCTGGTTTGTGTTGGAAGGGACCTTGAGGCTCATCCAGTTCCAACCCCTGCCACAGGCAGGGACACCTTCCACTAGAGCAGCTTGCTCCAAGCCCCTGTGTCCAACCTGGCCTTGAACACTGCCAGGGATGGGGCAGCAACAGCTTCTCTGGGCACCCTGTGCCAGCGCCTCAGCACCCTCACAGGGAAGAGCTTCTGCCTAAGAGCTCATCTCACTCTCAAAAGAACTTCCCTCAACAGAGGAAGCAGGCCCTACCTCAGGTGAGTATTTTCTTATGAGAATTTAACATTCTGTACATCTTCTGCCACCAAGAATTCAGCACATTCATCACCTGCAGCAGCATAAGTCAGATGTGGCTGGTTCTTGCCTAGATGACATCAAAAGAAAAATGTAAGTGTTCACTTAGGTAACAGGAATGGATAACCAGGTGGCCATTTGAGACACAGTAAATTTCTTCCCAGGCAAGCTGAGCTCACCTGCCAATTTTTCAATAACTAGAGTCTTCAAACACACAAAAAAGCCAAAACACCATCCCAGGTATGAGAGGGCCGGAATTAGCCCCAGCAATACAAGCAAATACAGAGCTGGCCCATTAAAATACACTTTACCTGCTGCACAAATGCCCTCATGATGTGTTGAACTGGAGCAGCAATTCCTGATGTGCTGCTTGACAGCCGCCATGGCCTTGCCAAGGGTGGTTCCTGTGCGGTGCTGAGTGAAGTGATTATTGTATCTGCAGTCAGCTAGACACTGCAGTGGGGAAACCTGGGAGATGAAAGGCACCATATAAACATACAATATTATTACTGCTATTACTATTATTTCACTGGCCTTTTGCCTCGCTTTCTGGTTGAGCAAGAGAATATGAGTATTCCTGAACGTCCCCAACCCTGCATTTAGTCAAGCCTCGTCTTTAGCACTGTAGACCTTCAGATATAATTTTTTCCCATCAGCTTAGTCCACAGAGCCACAGACCATGTTTCTTTACTTGGTATTAACTTCAAAGTCTTTTTGCCTTTAAAATACAACTCAACGTTATTTGTTAAACGACTGTTTTGAACTTGGATCCAATATTTTTAGTAAAAAAAAGAAAAAAAAAGGTTTGTTTTGTTTTTGAACTGGAAGGAATCCAAACTATCCACGGCTTTTATAACACAGCTTCCTTATGAGTCAGGACATTTATTGCCAGAAAAATATTATTGTAACTTTATTAGTGCAATATAGCAGTGACATCTAGTGGCTTTCATCAGCGTCATGATGAGCGAGGGAGAGGCACAACTGGCAGCACTTACGGGAACAGGTCCATGTCGGGGTTATTTTGCCATTGTTGAGAGTCAGTGAAGTTGGATGAGCTCTTCCATGGAGTTTACCAAAATTAGAAAGTTCTAATAGTAATGAAAATAAACGCTAAGATAGGCAATTCTAATTGTATAACAGTCAGGGGTGATTTCTTTAGCTCACATGTATAACAAGGTAAAATTCCTGGCTTCCTTCATCCCAGCTGAATTTTGTTCGCACTAGGGAGCTCCTGCACCATGAGCTAAAGAAACAGTGTTCTCAAATCTCTAAATCGGTGTTCAGTCTGATTTAGAGCAGTTTACAGACTGTGTAGCCTAAATCCCATGGGCGTTGCTTCTGAAAGAAGCAGGAGTTGTGCCATAGTTTTCCATAAAGCCTGATCATGTCTTCAACATTATTTTTGTTCAAAGCTGAAGATCGCTCTCAGGCTTTCAGCCAGGACATGTTTGCGTCCTTGCAATGCTTCATTTTACACTCGGGAATACCAGAAAAGGCCAAGATTGGCCTTTCAGTAACAGGATTAAGGTAGTGCAATCACCAAACTGGCAGAGGCAGGCAATGCTCACGGGGCTCCTGAAGTAAAACTGACACCAAAGCTTGGTCAATGTAACACTTCTAGTGCTGGCATGAATGTTCCTCACCAGTTTTGTAGCTGAAAATATTTTTAACTGTAGAATAGCATTACTATTACAACCAGCTTGTGGGTTCTTGTTCTTCCTCTGTGCTTCTTCCTCTGTTTAGCTGGGCACAAAAATTGCCAGATGTTCTTCGAAGACAACGTCAGTTCTGCTTGTCTGACAGTGCTCCCCTGGCCTTGGAGCTTCAGGCTATTAAGCATCACCATGATTTTAAATTCTGCCACAGATCTGATACTTCTTTCTGTCACTTTGGCTCTGAAGTTCTTCATTACTTGGTCAAACTTTCCACATAGAAGGCCCATTTAACAAAATAAGGCTGTAACTGAGAAAAAGCTATTAATAATTTTGTTTAGTGGTGCACACTCTAGCTGAATACTGAAAAAGAGACAAAACATTGGAAAACTTACTTTGTATAAGCATATTAGCCTGTGTTGGCTGACTGTGCCTTAGATAAACCACAGCTTTGCTCTATAAGGACAGAGATCTTACATGGGCTTTGCTGAGGAAGCCTGCCTCCTGCAACTGCTGGGTTCTGGCTGTGCAGGTGTGTGCTTGGGCATGTGTGTATATCTTCATGTGTTTTATTATGAAAGGATTTACTTTTCCATGTGCAGCAGTGACAGCACCCCAGAGGAAGTCATAGCTGGAAGTATCTAATATAATATTTGCACTGCGTCGGCAGTTTGTGTCCATGTGCCAGCGTTGTTGCTCTGCTTTCCCTCCTCAGGATTATTAGGGGGCTTGTAACATTAAATATAATGACTGCCTTTGAAGTTCAGACTTAACCTGAGACAGTTTTTCCATGTTGGCAGTCCAGCTGCAGCCTTCTTCCATGGATGGCAGGCCAAGGAAACAAGCGGTCAGCTCCACATCTGCCCCAAGCTCTGCAGAGTCAATCTTGATGAAGCTCCCACCCAGCCGTCATTTGGCCCCACATCCATCATGCTGCAGGATGAGGGCAGACCTAGGGGTGTCCTCCAGGGCTCCCCAAGCAAAGCCCCCTTCAGGCAATGCTGCCTCATGGCTATGGCTGAGGTTGTCTCCTGGATCTGGAGAGCTGCTGCCCACAGGCAGCATTCCCATCATCCCGGAAAGTGGTGAGTCAGAGCAGCGGCTTGAGGGAGACTTCAAATACTCCAGCAGGTCTGGCAGAAATATTTATCCACCTGCATTTTCAAATATGCTCTACTTTCTCACTTTATAAATACATGGGATGCAGCTGAACACTTGGCCTAGCAGAGCCAAACGTGCCCCTTTTTATTTGATGAACCAGCTGTTTTTCTGGCTTGCTCATATAAACATATTTGTGTGTGTTGATTTTGCAGTTCATTGGGAAAAAGAAACAGACATGTTGTATTTGCATTTTTGTTATGCATACAACTACCACATAGAAAAGCCCATTTACTTGTTTACTTTGCGTGAAGGGAAGCAGCACATAAAACACTCAGAGAAGGCACGGGAGGTTGACTGCTAATGCTTTTGCAACCAAGCAGATGCAGAATCAGTCCAAACAGGTGAGATATTGCAGTGGGTCTGTTTACAGATCACCGTGGACTGCAATATCAAGTGATTGGAGTCCACCAGTGAGACAACTGAGGTATCCTGGACAGCAAGCTCCTGCTCACATATTCACTGCTTTGGTTTTGGCTTCCACAACTGCGTTTCCGTGTGCAAACTGGCAGTGGCAAGATTCAGACCAAGCTTTCCAAACATCTGATCTAACCCCCTGTGGCACTAAAATGCCCCACCAGCTGGCCAGTTCATTATGTCTTTCTACAGAGCAGATAAGTCAAAACCCTACCTGCTTATCTCCAGCATTTCACATAGGTGACCAACAGACACAGGCTTGTGCTCCTCCCTGCATGGAGGCTTGTCAGGAGCTAATGGAATATGACAGTCTCAACCAGCTCATAAAATTATAACGGGATGTCAAGGAATTTATTGCCAAGTCTAAAAAAGAAAAACATTTCAATATCCTATTATGGCCTCTCTCCAGCCCTGTAACCTGCTGAGAACTAGGCTTTAAAATGCTGTACTAGCCAATCCCTCTGAACTTTGACTTCTATTTGGCGGCATTGTTTTTTATTCAGCTATAAATAAGCTGAATTATGGGCCTTTCAAGGTGGACGTGCATCTGGAACGTTACATGGAAAATCTCAGGTTAATGCTCTGACAGTTTGTCTAGGCAGTAAAAGGTAATTGCATGCAACACGACAAAAGTTGTGCAATCCCCAAAATAAGGAACTTTGCTTAATACAAATCATTGGAATTAGACAAGGGATAGAATATATTCCTTGGAGGTGCCAGATTTCATCTTGCCAATTTTATTCTTTATACTTACCCAGAGAATACATTTATAATTTCATATTTTGCTCTATTTCTGGTTGTCTTTGGGGCCAGACTGGAGAAACTAAAGCACTGTAAAATGGTTTATCCTGGTAAACATTCACATTTCACTAGCTGCTTTAAATAGTCACGCTATGTTTCCACAGGTATCTGCCCTTTCCGTTTCAGCAGCAATGCCACTGAACTCCTTACTTCAGGCAACAAATGAATTTTTAAAAGAACTTTTTTGTGTGTGTGATTTTCTGATACCATTTCACAGCCAAGCCAAAAGGGAGAAAGCAAGTTAACAAAGAAAGCCCATTTCCCAAAAGAAGGACTTACGTTCTTGAGGACATGAGAGCTAACAATGGCAATGGATATGCAGAAGCCAACATGATAACAACACTGGAGCAGTACTAGACAAAAAGATATCAGTAAGCTATGAAGTTCTAGTTCATTTTGAAGAAAAACTCTAAGACTTTCTGCTTCCTTTGGAATTCTGCATTTCCCTGTAAAAGTTTGAAGGCAGCTTTATTTGAAAGCTCCCAAAGAGGCGTGCTGCAGGGACAGGACACTTGGGTGTGTTATCTGCACTCACATGCTCTTTACAAGTGAGTGAGTGCCTTCACTGGTGAGGACAGATGTGCCTGGCCTGCCATAACACCAGCCACTCCTTTCAAGTGCAATAAGGAAACATGGACCCCCTTCATTCCCTTTGTCAGCCAAATGACCCCACTTGGATTGGCACCAAAAACAAGCTAAGAGAACAACCTACTTCATCGACAGCCGAGCCAGGTGGCTGGATACATGGGAGAGAAATCATTTCCAAGTGGCGTGCCAAGCTCATGTTCTCTGCAGTGGGGCCCCGTTTTGTGCTGCAGAAGAGTTAGGACTCTGAATCGCAGTGTCATGGGATGCTTTGGGCAGAGAATCAACTGATGTTGGCTGGAGATGCTGAGAGACAGTGCTGATCTTGCTGTAGCTCTCAAAATAGATCTGCACCTGCTATTAGCGTCAGCTTTGCCATCCAAATCCTGTCCAAGGGTGTAAATAACTTATGAGATTTTGAAAATAGACTCCACTCTTCCTCCCTATCAAGGAAAAAGCCCAGACAAGTAGTCCAAATCTTCCTGACCATTCAAAAGTCAAGACAGAGCATTACAAATGTTAGAAAGAAGAAAGCTTAAAACCAACCCCCATGCAATAACAGCTGTGCAATGACAGCGTGCAACAAACCAACCTAGATTACAAATGTGGTCAAAGGTCTGGGTATAAATTGAATGTACCAGGGCAATTAAATGAACTTGCATGTGCCAGCATCTCTGCTCCTTTTCTTACTCTCTTTGCCTTGCATATGGGTTCCCGGCTTGCCAAAGCACTGGCTGTCTCCTTCTGTCTTCTCTTTTGTACCTGCTGCCCAGGATCAGAGGTCTTTTTTCTGTGAATGAAAGTACAAGAAGGTAATAGAAGATACCATGAGTGAAAATGTCAAAAACAACTTACCATTTGAAACATTCTGATGTTGCAGTATGATCTGAGTTGCTTGCAATGCAATACCTTGGCTTGCGAAATAGTTTAACAGTGCCTCTACAGTGATCTTCAACCACTGTGGTTTCCAAAATCATGTGGCATTTTTCAATATCTTTGCCTATGAGTTTAAAAGGAAGACAGACTCCCCCATCTCCTCCAGGAGGCAGGGAATCTTTATTCCTAGGCAAAGCTGGAGGGTGTGCATTGGAACAGGTTCAGTTCTTTTTTGAAGGTGCTTACCAGCTATTTACAACCATAGGTTCTGTGATGCTGCTAAGAAGGACTAGGTAATGAACAGTTATACACATAGGTAATACAACCTGATTATACAGGAAATATAAATCCAAAGAGAGCAAAAGCAACTTCAGCTGTATATGCCTACCAGTTTTACCCAACCTATGGGCTTGAGGCCACTGCACCCATGCTTTAAATCAGTAGTTTTCATATTGTATGCACAAGTAACATTTGTGTTCAAAGTAGTCACTACCTAGTGCCCAAATCTTCCTGTTTGACAAGCCCCTCTGCTCACTCAAACTGAGCCAAGGCAGAGCAGGCACCAGCCTGTATGTGACTGGGACAAGCAGGAGAGTCCTCATGCTGTCGGCCCGTATACCACCACATACACTTCCAAACCAGCGTGGTCCTGCTGCCACTGGGGATTTTATTATTGGGAATGAGGCTGGATTTGTGCTGAGCCCTCCTCAAAGATGGAGAACTAAAGCCCACTGGTTTGGCACAGGTGACCTTGAACTTCTCAGAACAAGCTGAAATGAAACTTGCCTTAGCACCCTGTCCTCATTGACCTTGAACTCTGACGGCCTCCTTGTTCACGTGGATGCTGATGCTCTTCTCCCACCACAGCGCAGCACTGGCTGGGCAAAAAGGACACATGTCCAGGCCATAAGGTTCCTGCACAAAATAATGTTGATTTTTCCTTAAGGAGGAATATCATCTGGATGCCTGTTGTATCACTGCAGTAACTGAGAAGGAGCATGGCCCAGCATATTTGGGGTTTGTCACATGGGACAAGTTAAAACCTCAGCAATGGGCTCAAGAATTGCCAAAATGTCACAGAGGTAGTGGAAGAAGTGAAAGTCTCGCCAGCCCTCACATGAATGTGCGTTGGCTCTAGCAGTCACACTGGAAGTCTTCATGTGGCAACTTGAATTTCCTCATTTCACTCCTCTTGTTTCAGTTATCCAGACACGGAGTGAAAAAGCAAAACAACACACAAGCACCCAACGTACATGATTAATCACTCACGCTGCAGAGCACACAGTAAATAGCCAAAGGCTGGTCACGGCAAATAACTCACTGACACTCTGCAAGCTGCAATCCATTTGCAGGCAGGGTTCAGCCAGTTCTGACTAAGAGACTCTCAGAAATGGGGATTTGCAGGAAACTCATCAACACAAAAAATATGGAATTTGTTACTGGCATCTTTACCAGTTCTATTATTTGCTTAATATGGCCAAACATGGTGCGGATGGAGCAGAAGGTGCAAGCAAACCGCAATATGCTCACCAGAAAACCAGCTGGGTACAAGGGGTTCACGCTCCCTGGAAGGATGCTTGGCTTTGTCACCGTGCAGGGCTCAGACCTCTCAGCAACCACAGCTGGGGCACAACTTCTGAAAGCTTTGCTGAAGTTCAGCCCCGTACACAGCTCAGGTTTTCTAAAGCATGTGTTATCAGACATACAGAGCCCCTTTGAACCCCCCGCAGCCAACTGGGTCCCTACATGAGGGCTCAGCTCTGATGGAACTAACCATTCAAAGCTAATAACCTGGCTTCAGGCTTGCTATTGTCTCACAGTGCTCATCAGACACAGGAGAAAATGAGACCCTGGGGGCAAAAGATCTTATCTATGATATCAATAGAAACACACTGCTCTGCAAGCTTGCTTTCTAAGTGGGCTTCCCTCCCACTATACCCCAAATGGCACATAGCCTGAAACACAGATGGATCAGCACCAGCACATATACAGCTGTAAATAGATCATATATAATGGTGTTTCATTTTGTATTCCCAGCTTGCCAGCAGATATTAGGCCATGTGTCTGGTCGTGAGAGAGAGAACTTAAGCCCTGAAATAATAGCTACGAAGTTTTCCTTTGTATGTGGTTGTGGAATAAGGGCCCCTAAGCAAGATCAAGGTCCTGTTGTGGCCGAGTGAAATGATTCATGTGAAGTCATGAGCAAGCAGATGAGTATCTGAACTGAACCAGAGCCCACAGCTCGGAATGAGGGGAGCTCCAGCCCTCATCCTGCTGGAAACTCAGCCCCAGCTCGAGCTCTTTCCCATGGTTGGAGCCCTAGTGCTTTGCCTGCTGTCTGAAATGGTGTCATGGCAGAGTTCATGCCAAGGATAATGCCAGACTTAGTAAAAGGCTTTAGAAAGCTACCAAAGCACACGGAGAACCCTAACCCGCTATTATTGAGACAGGTACGTTCCAGATTAACAGCAACTGGAAAATAAGCAAAATACAACACAGAAGAGAGAAAATTGTAGGGAAGTTCTTCTCTAAGTCTGCTCTGAGGCATCTTCCCCAGGAAATGAGGCTGCTCTAAGGTGAAGTAGCCAAATACAGTATCTATGTTTGCTTTCCTCCTTGCATCCATGCAAAATAACTGTGCACTCCAAAACAACTGCAGGGAATCCAAAGGAACCACAAGGGGGAAAACAAGCAAAACAGCAACCGACCCAGGCAGGTCTCTGCTGCGCTGATGGTATTACTTGTCATTGCAACAACATGTCACTGAGCAATGTAGGGCATTTAGTTCACACCTTTACATCCTGCGGTTGCGTTAAACAGGGCCCCATCAGATCTAAAATGCAACATTTTGAATGCAAATACCTACAGGCTTTATATTTCCCCCAGGGATTATGCAGAGTAAATAGACCTCAGATAAGTAAATACACAGAAGGGGCAGTACACAAGTGGCAAATACAAGCAAAAAAACAGTTTGTATATGGGGATTCAGCTGCACATGCCCCAGCAAATGCACCAAGAGGAACACTCAAGAGGGCGTCGTGTCCATTTTTTGCCCAGTAATAGGACCAAGAATAGAACAGAGTAGAAATAAAGCAGGATGGATGCTTCCTCTGCTCCCTCGGGTCTGGAGGGCCCACGTTCTGCTCACTGAAATCTCCCAAAGTAACTCCACGAGGTGCTGTGAGGAGGGCACATGAGCCAGCATGTGCTCACATGTAACAGCATTACCGTGCTCATCACAGAGTACAGATGAGTTCTGCTTATACTCACCCCTCCTGCTGCAGTGCCTCTCCACAGTGAACTAGGCCCACAAGTGTGGCTTTGAAAGAGAATTCATCCTTCAGCATCTCTGTTTGCCTTGCTGGTCATGCGGGGCTGAACCTGGTATTGCTTTCGTTGCTGCTCTTGCCCTGAATAGATGATTTTTCTCCCTTTGTTCCAATTTTCTTTCCAACCCCTGTCAAGCAACCAGTGCAGGCATTTATGGCCTTTCCGTTTGCTGAAACGCGATCTTCAGCAAAGCAGAGTTCAACCTCTCTTGAGCCTTTCAGGCCAGAACAGCTTTCTCCTGAGGCATCACTGGCCATGGGCACGCAGCAGCTTTCCACACAGCAATAAGGATGCTGCTAGTGAAAAGACACTGTTTTGTCAAGGTGAACAGCGCACATGCTCCCAAACGGGTGCCTGTGTCCCATTTCCAGAGGGGCTGCTGGTGGGAGCCAGAATCGGAGCTGGGAGGAGGCGAGGACCGGTGCATCTCCAGAAAGAGATTCAAACTGCAGCACAGGCTCTCCTCTTACCATGAATAAATACACAGATACCTCCGTGCTGGATCCAGCCTCACGTGCTGCTTAACCACAGGCTTGCCTAAGACCCGAAAATCTCCCATGGGAACGCAACCAATCTGTTTCCAAGTCCTGCCTGTAATTAAACTGGCAGAGCATCACCACCTTCTAAGGTCCTTTCCCAGCCTCTAGTCCAGTGGCTGGTGAGTGCCTGCAATGATGACACTAACCAGCTACTGCTGTGCCCTGCTCTGGGAGCTGCTCCGTATTTCCAGAGCTTTTCCAATGCTTGAGAAGATCTACCATGGCTGTTACTGTGGCACACTAAGGAACACACTGCCTGGTCTTCTCCATTTCTCTCTTCTCTCCCAGAGCCCGTTTGTCCTTCCTCAGCATTATCAGAACGTTTAAAAGGCTGTGTTATGTATGGGACCAGCATCTTCTCCCTCACTGTGCCTGCCCAGCCTCTCCTCCAATTGGTGGTGGTATTTGGGCTTTTCATTTGTGAATTTGCAAGTTTTTGCAAGGTTTTGACCCCAGCAGCATGAAGTGACTAAACCAGATGGCCACAGCATGGGGGCACATGTAGAATGCATCCCCTTTGCTTCAAGTATGCAGCCGAAACACCCAGTAACTCCAGCCTAAGATGACCCCATCCAAAGGACAGCCTTGCTGTAGGCAGTGCTGGCTGCGTTGATCCAGCTACAGACGTTATCCAAGATGTAAACCATTCTTTTCCTCTGTGCTACAGCTCCTTAGCAGTGAACAGGAATAATACTTGCTTTCTCCCACCCTTTCTGGCTTTATCTGTTCCAGACACTCCGGTTCTTCAGGTACAGTTTTGTTTAACCCCCCCTCCCTGTGTTTCCACAGCACACACAGGGTCAGCATTTGCTCCATTTTCAAGATCATCGAATCACAGAATGGTTTGGGTTGGAAGGGACCTGCAAAGCTCATCCAGTTCCAACCCCCCTGCAGTGAGCAGGGACATCTTCAACTAGATCAGGTTGCTCAGACCCACATCCAGCCTGGCCTGGAATGCCTGCAGGGATGGAGCATCCACCACCTCTCTGGGCAACCTGTGCCAGTGTTTCACCACCCTCACTGTAAGGATTTGTTTCCTTAAATCCAGCCTGAATCTCCCCTGTTTTAGTTAAAAGCCCTCGCCCCGTGTCCTGTCACAGCACCACATCCCAACGGCTTCTGAGGTGAAAGATCTGGAGTGCCCGGCTTTGCTGAGGTAGAGCACACAAAGCAAGCGAAGCCCAGGCTGGCCTGGACTCCCCAGCTGAAGCTGTGTAAACCAGCACGTCAAGACAGCAGGAAGCCTTGGGAGGGTGGCAAGATCCCATCTGTCCCAAACAAAACATTATCATTAATTTGATAACCACCAGTGTTTTATTTCGATAGCAAGATCCAAGGCCAGATAATGGGAAATGGCAACTTTGTGTCCAAAGCAGAGGGATTTCTGCTGGGGTTTTTAGAGCATCCAGGCAGCCCAGGAGCATTCGCCCCGTTTCTGAAGCAGAATTTCACCTATAGCAGCAAACACTGGTATGTGTTTTAACAAATATTTCCATATGCTAAAGGAATGCAAATGGTTGCCAAGGAAAGAGGCTGCTACGGCAGCAGGCTGGGGCTGCTTCTGAAGGAAAAGCTGCTGCAGAAAGGAGGTATCCACAGAGGTGCACTAAAGCAACACCGACGGCAGTGACCTGGAGCTGACCTGGAGCTCCTCAGATTACACAAATGAAAAGGGAGTTTTAGACAAATCTGAGGCCAATTAGGAGCTTTTTTGCTTTTTTTCTTTCCTGGAGACATGATGAAATTTCCTGAAACAAAAACTTGAGCAAATTCTATAAAATACTTCTTGCTTTGGTGGAAAAATAAATGATTGCCTTTTTATCTCCTCATTCCTGAGGCGCAGAACTGGCCCACTTCTGTTTGTGCAGATGGATTGGAGGGAAAACACCCAGAGAAGGGCCAAGTGGTGAGATTCTTGGCACGAGCA